ATACATTATGTGAATTCCTATTGTAAAATTTTCCATTTAAATATTTTATGTCCTCTGCCTTCCTCTTGGCCGATTTGTGCTGGCCCTAAATCTAATTTACGACCAGAACCGACTAAAAAATAACTTTTTAGTCCAATCCGATCTCAGCTAAGTGCTGTGTTGCTCGGGTTTGTGAAATGGTGTCGCTGGAATAAACTTATTCCAGCGTGGACAGTCCCGTATCTCTCTACATAAGTTTTCTTAGTAGTAACCCTCACTGGTAGAAAGATACGCTCAATCAAGCTCTTGATTATACAGGAAGGGCCCTACACCCTGTGCAAGCACAGGAACCTTAATAAGTTCAGGTCCTAACCTCAGATTAGCCCGTGATTGTCAAAGACCGTTGTCACGGACTTCATCCTGTTCGCAAAAGGCTAGTGCCTCGGGTGAGCGGCCCCGGGTGCACGTATTTTCCAAATAGATACCGGAGCTGTTGGCACGCTCACTTCCCGTTGTTCATAGCACAACGATTACCACCGCAAAGCCTTTTAATCTAAATTCAAATACCAACTCTCTATGCTGGTACCGTTACCACAGCTCAACAGTAGTAGGGCTCCTTGTGAAAGAGTTCGTCTAGGGAAATACTGCCACCTTAAATATTTGTGCCGCCAAGCAGTAATGTGAGCATTACTGCCTTCTGGTTTGGAAGGGGACGGGTGCTGGTGAAGTTACGGACACATAGGACTTGTCAACTTATGTCTCAGGGTGAAAGGGCATAATGGCAATGACCCTAAGATCTTTACGATTTAAAGCTCTAATTGGCACTGCAACTGTTTAGGATAGGCGTGTCGCTTACCACCAGATGCACGACTTGTTCGCCCCGTCACTTGGTATTTAAAAAAGCTCCGGGCATGCTCACTTCCCGACGCCTCTCCGTGCGTCAAATCCAGTTCCTATAATTTCTATGAGCCTGGATCGACCGGAGGATATTTTATTTTATTTTTTTTATCATTTATTACTACGCCACAACACAAAAATACACAGTAAGAAAGATAAAAGAAAGATGAAGCCGAATTAAAACAAAATAAGAAAAAAAAATGAAATAATATCAAAAAGCCATATTCAAAAAGCGCCGAATAAGCTAGCTTTCAAGCCATTAGTCCGCGATTTCATATTGGAGTCTCAATCTACATCCCATTAATCTGACATTGTTATATATAAATTTGTATATTAAATACATGTGTATGTATTATATATTATGTATTTATGTGTATATAGGTTGCTTATACAAGTATATAGTTAGCCATGTAATATTATATTGTATATTTATATTGTGTTTAAACTGCATATCATAATTATTCATAACCTTCTTCTTATCTGTTTTAATTATCATATTTTGAACCCAGCTCTGCGGTTGACTGGTAGAGAATGCCTAATGCCATTAAGTCAGCCATTTGTACTGATTTGTGTGCAATTAAGTTTAAAATAATAAATAAAAATAAAATCATAAACAACAACAAAGCAAACATTAAATATTATATCTAGCTTAGCCTCTATTATTTATCCGGACTAGTACTGGAGATGTCAGTCCCAGTGTCCTGCGGCAGTGTCCGGACATAGCTTCCAACTTAAAGGGCAACTCACGTGGCCCGCACGTCCTTTCACATTAGGCCTCCGCTACTAAGACCAGTGTACACAGTAAAACATCCTTATAACTTTGAAGCGGCGGACAGACTAATTGTAGTTGTTCTTGCGACTAGAACCTAAATGAAACGAAACTAAATGACGACTTTTTTACCTGACTAGTCAAATCAGGTCCTTAGATTGTTCAGTATTGTTATAGATAGAAACCAAAAATTTTTTTTGGATCTAAATCGAGTAGGTATATTTCTTTTTTTTTTTTTCAAAAAACCAACGAGCGTTTCGGGCTCTTTCTTTACAAGTCCCTTGGTCATGGCTGACTAGTCATCATGGTCACGTTAATATAAGGGACGCGCATAGCCGTAGTGTTTATATCCTCTTTGCGCATAACCAAAGCGAAGAGGTCAGAGAATGCCTCAAATTTCTTTCCCAAAAATACTTTGCATGGTTTCATGGGCTGAAACATGGCCCATTAATTCAAGAGGACTGCTAATCTCCATGCTTAGATTGTAACTCTGAAAACGTTCAAATAACAATGGCGAACCCCCATTGTGTATGTAAATGATCCTGTTTTCTAAACTTTTGACACACATCAATAGATGGCATTGTGCTCGAAACGAATTTATGGATTAACGCTTGCTAGCATGGATAGATGGTGCTAATCGTAAACAAAATAAAAGAATATCTGGCAGTATCCATAAGAATGTGTGATAGGCGCCATCTAGTTGTTTTGTTTGTTATCACTTCTTCGACATGTCAATTTTCTCTCGATAATGACGTCACCACGAATTACCTCTAACCGTCTCAGGGGGTATACTCTCGATCTCCGTCCATCATCCGTCCGAAACAATTACTGTCAAATAAGTAATATTCGACAAAATTAAAAGACAAGTATCAAGTATGAAGCTTCATTCGCATCACGCGTCATTTCATATGGTCAAGTATTACTTATTTGGCAGTAATTGTTTCGGACGGATGTCGGACGGAGACCGAGAGTAGACCCCAGGCGCGAACATAAGCGCTAAGGTTTATGCTGCCGCGCATACAAATGTCAAATGAAGAGAATTTCTCTTTTGGCAAATCGCCGTAGCGAATAACTCTACTACCTTTAGAGCAGAAGGATTTTAATTCAAAATACTATATTTTTGTAATTCGTGATTTAAATTTACAAGTAATTTTATGCCATGAAAATGTCTTGTGCCTATCGTAACTATTTATTAAGTTTTTACGAGGAAAAAGTGGCACGAAAGAGACAAAGAACGACGGTACACGAATTTTGCTCTCAAATTTCGTCTATTTCTCGTCATGCTAAGCCTGCTGGTAACCAATAGGTACAAAACACCGTACTACGCTATCTCGTACCGCAATTAGAACTTCTCTTGTATTATTGATCGGTGGATTAAAGCTAATAAAATTGCACCATACTGTTTATTGATTCGTTTATTAGATATCGGTAGACTACTTGACCAATTGAAAATGCAATGTTTATGTATCACCTCGAACGTTACGCCGAATACTATTTTGTACACAGGACAACATACATAATAACATTATGTTACTTAGAGGAAATAATACACAGCCAAACTCCTACTTTTTATCTGGTGTGCAGTACATTTTGATTAATCACATTGCTAATAAAAATTATGTTACTACAACCACTACTAAATTATAGGAGAATAATTATACATTAATACAAAAATTTTCTAAAATGTCCAGCATATTCATGTATCTCGTCGAAACTATACGTCCTACTTTTCACAAGTAAATAATCTCACAAAAAAAGAAGGTAATTTCGTATATAAAATTAGTATTGTTGATAAATTTATGAGAGTTGCATTTTTGTAATGGTATGATATTAATAATAAACGGAAAGTTTTTATTAATCATTACATTTTTTTTTTTTGAAGGAGTGGCAATTCCTTGGCAACAATAAACTAAAATTATAAATTAACAAGTCACATTTGGGCCCTTAAATGAAACTCTCATTTTAATAAATGTCAAAATATCTGAACTAACCAAAAATATTTACATGGCCAAAGAGACAGAATCTGCAAATTAGGGTGTACTTAAGATTGTAAACTAAAACCATTCAAAATAGCGTCTTGGATTAATTGATATAATTTTAATTTATGTCAAACAAGTATCAGATTCCACTTTGGTTGTGACTACATCTTTGACATAAATTTCCCTATGACCTGCAAAGAAAATGGTAATTTAAAAATTCCACAACAAGTTAAGGGTCCAAAATCGAACTTCTAGTAAAGTCCATAAATAAATTCAAAAGCTGTTAAAACAGCTAAGCAGACTTGGTCCTGCTGTCGTAACAGCCTTTGAATCGCCATTGCAGAGTCACACAATGCAATGGAGTATAAAATAATACTAAAATTGATACACACCACGAAAAAAGTAGAAATTGTGTCAATACATACTTATAAGAAAACTTTCGCACTCAGATCCATATCAAGTTAAAACACATATTAGATAGATTAGATAAATATTTTTCTATGCGTTATGCATATACCTACAAGAGAACTCACAGATCGACAAATTCCTTGTAAATTTTCTTAAGCGTGATACTATAAAGTATTGTCCAACGTCCATCGTAAAAAAAGCATAATGCATAAAAACCTTCATGTAAGAAATATAAGATTTTTATATGATTTTTGAACTTATTTTTTGTTATAAATCAATATTCAGTGGGTTGTCGATCTGTAACTGTCCCACGAGTCCGATGAACGATTAAATGAGACCTAAACTTGCTAAATATCTATGACAGGCGCCTATCTATACTAAAATTATTACATTGATAAATACTCCATACACGCTATACTCGACTTAACGCTAGGTTAGCAAACGTATAACATTCGACTTCCCAAAGCCATTCCAATGGAAAGACTGCACTCATTTCAAACCATTTTCACAAAGCTTGAGTATGTACTTGACATTTTTCTACAGAGGATAGTTTGTTACGTGCTAGCACTTAACCACTTCAAAGAATTCACATATTTATTTTTTGTTCACATTGAAACAGTTATTGTAATAATCAATAGTAAAAGTTTAAAATTTTCAGCTATGTTAATGTCAAAATCTAATAAGTACCCAAATAGGACATGCTGTAAAATGTACCATCCATTTTAAAGCCGAAATGATTCCAATTATTTGTACAAATTCATGCACTCAATCAAGCTCGATAATAAAATAATACAAAAATCAATTTCACTTAAAATTCCGTGAAATATCGACAAATAAATAAGTTCTTTGTTATCTACAAATTCAGAAGACTGCTTTATAAAACAAAAGGTACAAGACAGAATACTAATGTAAATCGATATCATCGAAAAGTATATGAAATCACAACATAAATTTGAAGCCACACATTCAGTCCCACTTAATGGAAATATTCAAATAGTCCCGAATCACTCACTGAAAGTCGTCAGTAGAACAAAAGATCATCTAAAAATCAGTCACACTATGATACAAATTTAGTCGTCACTGGTGAGTTACCACTGCGGGTTGGGAGGCAAGTAGCCTTCGGGCGCGGGCGCGGGCGCGGGCGTGGGCGCGGGCGCGGGCGCGGGCGCCGCGGCGGGGAAGGAGGCGGGCGCGGGGGGTGCGCCGTACGGCGGGTAGTACGCGCCGCCGTAGCCCCCGTAGTACGACGGCGCGTTCGGGTACGCTCCGTAGCCCATCCCGTATCCTGTACAAGCAAATGTTTCATTCATTTATCATTGTTGAATATGCAGTGATTCACCTACAAGTCAACGTTAAATATTTCTCACCTGTATATTGACCGTAACCTGCTTCCAATGACGGGTTAGCGGCAGGGTAGGCTTGACCGGGAGCCAAGGGGTTCATTGGAATTGTATTTGAGGCACTAGGTGCCAGCGGTTTCCCTATCTCAGGTACAGGAGTGCCCATAACGTGTGGAACCATCGGTTGTGGCTTACTTAGACCCATGTGACCCGGAGGACGAGACATTGCACTCAGGTCATGAGGCATACTCGTACTCATGGCCCTGTGAACTGGACTTGATCCAACTGGAGCAACCGGAGCTGTATTGTGTGAAGAAGATTTATCAATCATTTTACTTCCACTGCCTAAAAGACTAGATACGCTATGTGTCATGATCGGATTAGGAGCCGGCCTATCATTTTGATTCATCGCGTTTGGAGATTCAGATGTTTCGGCTTTATTTGGCGACTTTTTCTTCTTTGATTTAGCTCCAGGTTTTTCGTCAGGCCCAGGCGAATAGGACTGCGTGATGTCATCTAAATTCTTGCGAAAATCCGGCAAACCTTCTTTGTTCAATGCAATCGTCGTTCTTTCTAATTGACTCAAACTTGACTCAGTCGGTTGTCGAGCACCAGGACGTTGATGCCTGTAATTCTTTAACAGATTTATTTTCTTTTCGCTTTGTTGAACAGGATCGTTGTCAAGGAATTGCTTTCTTAAACCAAAATCCTGTTCATTTGTTTGCACTCTACTCATGATATCATTGTCATAAGGATGTCTTTCTGTTGCATTATCAGAATTTGATGCTTGCAATTTATTTCTCAGTCTGGATGGTATGTCTGAAGAATTTGCTTCTTTACTCTTATTATCTAAAGCTTCTTCCGATGGCAGCTTCTCATCAGTTGTAAGGACCAGAGCTGCGGACTCTATAGATTGTTTATTCACATTTTTACTTATATCTGTGCTCATGGAAGACTTTGTTTCTTGAGAATTACTGTCATCTTTGTAATTTTCAATTAAGTTCGGTTGCCCATTAGACGGTCTATTTTTACTTGCGTCCTCGTCATCACTGTCAAGTAATTGGGGTTCATCATCTTCCAAATCCATCCTCTTCGCATGATTTTTATCTTCAGTCTTCTTAGTAATTTTAGTTATACTGACAGATCCCGGTAAATTTGGCCGCAGCAATTTTCCTGGAGGTCCATGAATCCTAGGTCGCATACTGGAATAAGATCTCATTTCTCCCAAACGATTACGTATTTCAGACATTTTTTGACCCGGAAGCATTGGTCTCATCTTGTTTTGTCCTATCATCGCTGGTCTAGTTAACACCCTTTGGAATCCTGGTCGCGGTGCGGTCTTAGATGTTATTGTAATTGCAGAGTTGTTCTTCAAAGATCCGGGAATATTAGCTGCTGAAGGACGGTTACCTAGAACTGGAATAAAGAGAGCAAGAATTTTACCAGTGAAGAGCATGATCATGACATTTTTGTTACTATTTAATTTTCCTGAACGTAATTAGAACACGTACCTTTCTTGCCTACGGGACTATCTTTATTTTCCCCCTTGCCAGCTAAGCCCTTGAATGAAGTCTTGATGGCGATAATCTTTCCAGACTCCAGCTGCATGTATATTCCTTTGGGAGATTTGAGTACCATGACTCGTTGACCTGCCTTCAATACGATATTGGTCTTCTCCGCAGAATTGGTTGGTATTACAACATCTGTAAGCGGAGAAAACATTTAATTCTGTCTCATTTTATTTACGTCTATAAAGATGTGAGAAGTGTTCCATATCGACTGTGAACTGGCAACCAGTACTATCTCAATTTTGACAACTTTACATTGACTTTAAAGGTGACAAAAAAATTGTTTGCGTCATTTACATAGCACCTGATTTATTAAATAAAAATACGTAGTTTTTAAATATTTTTATTACACATACGTCGATATGTAACGCTTGTTATAAGACGACGTTCTTATTGTTCTTTATGTTGTCTTACCAAGTGGCAATGTCATTTCCTGTGCAGTCATGCCCTGTCGGCGCCACACGTCAGCAGGTATCCATCGCGCCCCGTGTTGCATGGGACGCACGGAGGCTACAGGCCGCTGAACTAGGCTACCGTCTGCGGCGCGAACTGTACGGTACGCTGTAGTCGGTTTTGGTGCTGATGCTGCTTTCTTCTCCAGTTCGTATCTGAGGAGAAGCACAACATACTGAAATGTGTATACTCACAGTACGTTTTATGTGACTTTAACAAACAATGTTATCGTCTACATTCACAAAAATGATTTATTGCCCGTTCCATGGTTGCCTATTGGTGAATATTTCCTGTTAAATTGCATTGTTTCAGACGGATTGAAAATTGCATCTATTGCATAGACGACTCCGAACCCTCCGTATCGAAGAAAAGAGTAACAGAGATGCCCGGAAAAATTCGTTACTAATCGTCATAAGAAACCTACCCTCTCTGTGCAAGTCTTTTCTCGGCACTAGACAACTTCTTCTCTTTCCTATCGACCAACAGCGACTCGTGTTGGAACGGCTCTTTGGTCAACAGCGTCCCATGTTGCGTGAGGATCCCTTGCATCAATACGTCAATGTATCTGTCCTTGTGCTCCGATAGGTCCTTTGGTTCGGTTTCCTGAAAAGTAACAGAAGGACGCTTTTAAACTCTGCGATTAGCTTTATTAACGGTAATATTTTAACATTCGTTTGTTCAATTAAACAAAAATAAAATTTACCACGGATTTATAGACAAAGTATCAGAGCGGATGAGAAAGGCTTGGTCACACAATTTTAAATCCTGATTTAAAATATTACATGTAAAATATTCCATTAGGTCCTAATAGGTAATATATTACATATAATGGCATTCCTACCTTTTCATCATTATCAAAGCAGAGATTAGTGATCTCCTTCATCGAGAGCACAGCGTCAGGGTTGCACTCGTCGACGACCCGGTCAGCCATGCCTTGTTTATTGATCTGCCGATCATAGATCTTCTTCTCGAGGCAGCAGTCCATTACGAAACGATACACGAAGCATGCCTTCTTTTGACCATATCTAAAGGTAATACAAATATTTAAGTTATACTGCTGTCTAATAGTAAAGACTCGCAAGTTACATTGTACACCGAAATTGTGGCGCTAGTAGCGATTTTTGACATCAATGTTTGTTGTCGGTAGAAGAAATTAGTTCCTTTAAAAACTCCGCAATATGGCGAGGATCCTAATACTCACACATAATCAGTGTAGTGTCATTATCATAAGTTCCGTTCCATTTTACTATTTTAAACAGCAATGTTTAGATCAATAAGTTAACCGGTTAGAGAACCACTAACCAAAACGTGGCTAAGTGACAAGTGGTCAAACATAAGTTTCAAACAGCATAACGTAGAGCTCAAAATTCTCTATTTAAAAACGGGTAAAGTAAGTTAACGTCTCCAACATATTGAAAGTTACCGTAATTATGCATAGCTAAAATGTTATTAAATAATTTCAATATTCTAAAATTTTTTCGATATCTCTAAAAATTATTTGGCGACATAGCCGTTTTGGTTAGCGGACGACAAAATAATTGCGTACGTAAAAAGGTTGAAGCCTTAGCAAAACGCTGGTATTCAGATTTTAAATGTCCAACATATAACCCAGTAAACAGTTTGTTAATTTGTTGGTTTTGATTGATCATTGTAAACAAGAACATATGAACATAATAAAATCACATAATCAAGAAGCTTACCGATAAACTCGACACACGGCCTGCGTATCGTGACAAGGGTTCCAGCTTGCGTCAAACACAATCACTCTGTTGGCACCAACGAGGTTTATACCCAGAGAGCCTGCTCGAGTCGACACCAGAAACAAATAAATATTAGGATTCGCATTGAATTCATTTATTAATTTCTCACGTTCCAACGCGTGTGTTGATCCATCCAGTCCTGAAATAAATTTTCGTGTTTTTATCATAATTAGTAATAAAAAATATTAGTCGTTTCAAAACTTTTATAGTAAAAATACTCACGATAGTAATTAGTATTCCTCTCCCATAGACAATTCGTACCCGGGATATAGTTCTTTTCCAAAAAATCTTCGATGAGATTCAAAGTAAACAAGCTCTGACTAAAAAGCAGTAATCTGTCTCCAAGTTTAATGCTTTCATTCAAAATGTAAAAGAACAATTCCATTTTAGCGGAATTTTCTATAATGCCGGGTACATAGTCTTTTAATAATTCAGTTGCCCAATCGTAAGTCATTTCTTCCGCTTTCTTAGCGAGCGCTAGTTCTTCCTCTCGATTAGGTTTCTCCTCTTTTTCGCTCTCTTCAGAATCAGAGTCATTTTTATCGTCATTATTCTTGTCTTTGGAAGTTTTCCTATCTTTCCTGCCTCGAGGTTTCGGTTTACTCTTAGCTTTTGACTTCTCTTTGGTCTTGCCATCTTTAGGCGGCCGTCCCCGTGGTCGACCTCGTTTAGGAATCTCTTCTTCTGACTCAGACTCATTACTTTTTGTTTTATACTCATTACCGCATTTCTTCTCCATACAATCTTTGACATCCTCCATCTTTTGTTCATTCAGTTTAGTCATGGAAACTTCTGGTTTCAAGTCATCCTTATTTTTGATAATTTTCTTTGTATCCAAATCTTCGATTTTAACTTCGCCGTCAGACTCAGATTTTACTTCCATTTTCTCTTCAGCCTTAAGTTTGGAGACCTCAGTTTTGAGAGTTTCTGTCATAGGCCATGCGGTTACAGGGCTACCAGAGCCGGCGCTGTCAAGTGGTGGCTTCGTCTCGAGATGAGGAGGAATGTTCGACGGATATGTACCCGCTGGGTATTGATTAGGGTAATTAATATTACCGCTGCTTTGAGGCTGATTGGGATAAGCGGAAGTATTTTGCTGATTATAGTTATATCCAGAATTACTATACGGCGGTGCAGTGTTAGGCGTTGCGCAAGGTTCAGACTTTATTTCAATTGCTGGATAGTTCGGATCAACAGGTTCCGTTTTCAACGGTTGTTGATTTGACTGGCCAGCTGACATATTGTCACCAGGAGATTGATTAGGCGGCATGTTATTCGGGTATCCCGGGTAGTTCGGTGGGTAATTTTGGTATTGATTATAGGGTGGCTGTGAAGTGCTCCCATACGGTGGATTCGTTGGCGGAGGATTAGGTCCATATGAAGTGCTTGCTGTTGGAGGATTAGACCCATATGGAGAGCTGCTTGCAGGAGGATTATTGTTAAAGGTAGTGCCTGGATTTGGATTGGGGCCGTACGAAGCATTATTATCATATGGAGGAGCATATGATTGATTAGGATATTGCTGCGATGGCTGGTTGCTAGGATAAGATGGAGCAGGAGTAGCATTTGCGTTGTACTCTGAATAGCTTGGCGGATTTTGATAGGAACCTTGATATGGGGGCCTTTCTTGGTTGGCAAAATTATTCTGAGTGCTGGAATACGGCTGCATCGCGTTATTAGCATAAGCAGTATCATTAGCTGGAGCGTTGTATTGTGGCGGAAACGGCTGAGAGCTGTTATACTCAGCAGGAGGGTTGCCTCTGTACTCTTGTGAAGGACCTGGTCCCTGCGATGGCGACCCGTTTGCGTATTGTGAATTATTGTAGTACCCCGAATTGCCGTAATAGTTACCTTGTGTATTACTCCAATTATTCTGATTATATCCTTGGTTCCACTCTGAATTATTTTGTGGATATTGATTTGGATAATTGTTTCCGTAGGACGTTTGTTGTTGATAGTAGTTTGGGTCATAGTTTTGATTGTAGCCTTGATTAGGAGGATAGTAACCTGGAGGCTGCTGGTAATTAGGGTAGGGTGGATAATTTGAAGAGTGACCGTATTGTGCATTCGGTGGGTACGGCGCGTTTCCGTAGGCAGGATCTTGGCGAGAATTTCCTGAACCAGTGGTGGTATTAGGCGGAATAGTAGCGGCTGGCTTCTTCGGCGCGCCCTAGGAAACAATAAAAAATAAGTCTAAGACAACCATTAGAACTTTTTAATGAATTATATCTTTACGAGGTAATTGTTAATGTTCAATAATTCCATATTAATTGTATTGGTATTACAATGCAATCAAAATTAATACACTTTTCGAGGATTTGTCAGCACTTGACATTTTAAAAATAATACAATTTTTTTATAATACCAAGTCACAGGATGAACAAGTAGTGTGCCTGGTGGTAAGAGACACGCTTGTCCAAAACAGTTGCGGTGCCACTCAGAGCTTTAAATCACAAAAATCTGAGGCACTGCCACTGCGTTCGTCACCCTGCGTTGACAAGTTGCATGTGCCTGTAATTTAACCAGCGCCCTTACCCTTCAAAACTGATACGCAGTAATGCTGACATTACTGTTTGGCAGCAGAATAGATAAGGTGGCAGTACTTCCCTGTACAATATTATTGTATAGTCCGTCTTTTTTGAAGACGGAGCAAAATGAGATTTGCACGGTTGCCAGTTTTCATAAAATAAAAAGTCACGTAGTTGTTGTCGATAGATTGCGAAAGGGCGTAAAATTTTGCCAATGTCTACTAATTGCGTTTTTGCCTTGTTCATCTTTATTTTGATAGTTGACCTACTAGTAATATCAATTATTATTCATATACATTTTAACAAGAACAGGCCGGTTTGATTATCTATGTTGAATTAAAATGAAAAACTAAAGTATGTATTTTTAATATAGTTCTAAACACATTGTATGTATGTACGCATGAACTTACAAAAAACAACAATTCAAATGAACCTGTGCCCAGCAGTTGGACGATTAATGGGCCTACGATGATTCTAAACATAATCGGCTATTTATTGCATAATAATTAATATTTAATAATAAATATTTTATCGAATACAATCAGTAACTGTCTGTAAGCAGGCAACACTTTTGCGCAATGAATTGCTATTTTATACCATACTCAAAAAAGACAAGACTATAACAATATTATATTGAGTAATTTATGGTAAATAATATACCCGAGGTTTAGCTGCACCCCTTCGTGGTTGCGCCTTGTTCGCCCTAGCGCGGCCGGCCTTAGTAACACCCCTCAACTCTTCCAAGTCCAAGTCTTCTTCGATCGCTGCATTGGCTTCACTGCGCTTCTTCAAAAAGTTATAAAGAACGTCCGGATGATTCCATATCTGAAATTTATATAAGGCTTATAATAGAAAAGCGAAAAAAAATGAGCATGAAATACCACTATTCGTACATTCATTCAAATATTTCTTGACCATTTAATTTGTAAAGAATACAGATTGCTTTCATAATTTAGTGACAGCTATTAGCTCGGATGAAACTACCCTTTTTATACTTGCAACTATTTATTATATACAGCGTGACAGGTTGAACGAGATAAATATTTAAAGAAGCAAACGAGTAGCTAATGTGTGATCCGAATACGTAAAAATTGCCCCTAAACATAAGACAAAAAACGTCCAGTGGGCCCAAATTGATAATACTTGGACATAGGAATAACTTGTGGAGTACCGAGCAATTTTTTTTATGTGATAGATAATAACATTCCTAACAACTTTTATTCTTGTATAATTTCTTGAAAAGTTGATAGTTTCGAAGATTTTTTTTTTGTATGGAAAAATATAATACATTTTTTTTTATCTCAAAATATACGAAAATGTAATATGCGTGGGTAACTTACAGTAAGGTTCCAATCATTTCTGTGTAGAAAAAAATAATCCGTCTGAATGTACTTTGTAAGTAAAGGTGCGGCAAAATTGCTAACTCTTTTATGTACTTTTTCAACAAAATACAAGAAATCTAAAACTTTGACACCTTTTTACTCGTAAAGCCGCAAGTACCTGCAGATGGTTTATATTTTTCTTGATAGAGAAATGATTGGACCTATACTGTAAATAAACCACACACATTACATTTTCCTATATTAAGAGATAAAAAATAAAATGTATATTTCTCCATACAAAAAACATTTATTTTTTTTAATTTGCTCCGTACTCCACAAGTTATTCCTATGTCCAAGAATTGTCAATTATTACTTAATTATGGGAACAATTTTAGGAATATGGAGCTGATTTTTTTTCATATGATAAATAATAACATTCCTGATAACTTTTATTCTTATGTAATTTCTTGAAAAGCTGATTGTTTCCGAGAAAAACATTTTTCGTTCTTTTGTTTGGAGAAATAAACATTTTATTTTTTATCTCGAAATGTAGGACAATGTAATGTGTGTGGTTTATTTGCAATATAGATTCAATCATTCTCTATCAAGAAAAAAATAATCCATCCGCAGGTACTTGCGGCTTTACGAATAAAAAGGTGTCAAAATTTTAGATTTGTTATTTATTTTTTAACACAATATACTAGTTTCTACTTAACTTTCATGTTATTGTTATAAAACTCTCTAAATTACACTAAAATTAATTTTTCTTTAGTCTAAGCTATTAAAAATATATAAAAATATATATTTTGTTAAAAAAGTACACAAAAGAGTTACCAATTTTGCCACATAAATTTACTTACAAAGCCGCAAGTACATGCAGACGAATTATTTTTTTCCACATAGAAAATGATCGAAACTATACTGTTAACTAACCCACGCACATTACATTTTCGTAAATTTTGAGATAAAAAATAAAATGTATATTTATCCGAACAAAAAAATTATTATTTTTTTCTCCAAAACTATAAACTTTTCAAGAAATTATACAGGAATAAAAGTTGTTAGGAATCCTATTATCTATCAAATCATATTAAAAAAAATTAGCTCGATACTCCACAAGTTATTCCTATGTCCAGGAATTATCAATGTGGGCCCACTGTGCGTCGTGCCATTTTACAAATACTAACAGACTCTTCGTTTGGGTTACTCTATGAAACAGCTGAGCGGTAGGAAATTGAACACCCGCGCCGCGACACGAGCGCGTGTCAAGCCTTCCTACGCCACAGTACTTTACACTTTTGACGTATGATCACGTGTGAATTTATTACACCAAGGATACATAGAGGTATGGGTAGGGTATGTGACACGTTAAATTTCACAGCATTATTTTCATTAAATTTACTATTATTATATCTCTATTTGACGACCTCCGTGATCGAGTGGTTTGGGCACCAGTTTTCTTGGTGTAACCATCTCTGAGGTCCTGGGTTCGATCCCCTACCGGGTCAATGTAAAAAAAAACAATTCTTCTATATTATCGCGGGTCTGGGTGTTTATGATACCGTCGTTGTTTCCGATTTCCCATAATACAAGCAAGTGTTTTATTTACTCACTTTAAGTTCTGAGCAACATACGGGTGTTGTCTAATTAATATTTATATTATTTATTACTAAAGTAGGAACTGGGGCAAATTAAAATAGTACCTTGCAGCAAATGGCGAAAGCTTTGAGCGGGTTCGGTACTGAAGTGCAACGAACAACTTCATTCATAAAGCGATCGTAGAGCTTACGCTGTAGTGGAGTCATACGGACAAGGAGAACGTATTCTTCTTTTTGCGGCAACGTCGACTGGAGTACTGCGTGTGATCTCCTGTACCAAAATTTTGACAGTTATAGAAAACCAACCAAAAGATATGATACCAAAAGGTGCTATCATAAAAATATTTTTATGATGTGGTCGCGGTTGCACCAAATGTACAGGAAGTACAATATATAACTGACTAAAATTGTTCAATGTCAAAAAAACTTTAATATTTTTTATTATGGTTAAAATAAGTGCGCATTGACCTCCACCTCACCTGATGGAAAGCGACGATGAGGTCCATGCTGGAGGACCTAGTTTAGTGCCTAATCACTCTGCTCTTCAAAAAGCCCAAGTTCTAGCTTTCAAGGAACAAAAATTCAAATTGAATTCCACTCGCCATATAATTGGGGTAACATAATGCTTCATGCGAATCTTGGGTATATCCACAACATAAGGGTAGAACCCCAGACATCTAATGACGTGATGATAGATAGGAGATGGCGAAATGATTTCAGGCAATCCCAAAATATAACTTTTGTTACACCAGTAAATTGATACTTTGGTGGCCAACACAAACAAGGCTTAGTTAGTACTCGCGACGCGTCATTAACCAAAATTAAAACTTATTATACGTCCCAATGCTAGCAACAGGTCTCCTCTAAGAGGGTTTAAAACCTTCTACTACTCCATTCCCAGGGTTCAGACCGTGGCCTAATGCTACTTAATCTACATATTAGAAGCCTTACACACAAAGCTGTACAATTTACCTCTGAACAAAACCAACAAGCAATGAATGCAAAACATGAGCTCTATATCTCATGAGCCTTATGTCTTGAGGTGTAGAGTCGATACACTGTCCGTTCTGAATGGGCCTTTCGAACATGTTGCAGAACTCGGTCTTGCTGCCGAGGTAGTTTGGTCGCACGAAGTCTACCATACACCAATACTCTAGCAAATTGTTCTGGAGGGGGTAACCTGGTAAAAAAAGTCATAGAAAATGTAGGTCACACACAGTTGTTATTCAACATTAACGTCTTTTCTTTACATTTATTGGAAACTTTACATCTCAATAAAGAATCATTATATTTATTGTAAAATAACACCACAGCATTCCTCAAAAAACAACAACAAAAAACACTCTTTAAATGTGCTGTTTGGTAACATATCAACATTAAGTATTTAAAACCATCTACCTGCTCTCAGGCTCCAGTAGAAAACCAGCGCTGAGGCTCTGCCCAGTATAAAGATGACCTGGCTAGCCCTTTCGGCTATTATTGTGTACGTACTTTAGGTTTTTGATTTAATTATTTCTTTTATTTTGAATTGATACTATTTGTAATAATTATTAATAATACAAAGATCGAACACTTAGAAAAAGTGCCTTCGATCCAGCCGGATTCGAACTGACCGACCGATTGTATTAATAATTATAACAAACTAGTGGAGCAATTTCAAAAAAAATTATTGAACATCATGGTGGTGATTGAACATATTGACATACAAATAAAAACTTAATTACTATTTGTAATGCTTTTCATATTATTTGTAACGGTTGTCATATTATTTGCGAATAGCCAAATAAATGCTTCTTTCTTTCTTTCTTGGTAGCTTCGAACGTGTACACCTTATGTAGTAAACCTTATGAGATTACATAAGTGACGAAATCGACAAATCACTACGAAAATTGCAAACATACTCACATATACATGGTTTTAGAAAGGTGAGTTCGAAATTTCATAGGGTCAATTAGGCTGTCTATTAGGAACCGAATATTGTGTTCACGTACTATAAAGATTTTTGTATCAGCATTACGTTCATGATTAGTCTTCGGTTACGTAAATATTGTAGTACACACATGTTGGTGTTCTTATCAACAATAAATAAAGAAATACAAAACTCAATCAGCTGATAGCACAATTACTATGAAAAATTGACATCTTATTTCTTATATGCCGATATCTACATGGGTTCCTTCAGTATCAAGAGTCGAGTCAAACATGAAATTTCAGACGTACTCTTTTCACATCTTTTTACTGCTTCCGTGGCTGAACAGTTACCATGCTGAACTACCGCACAGAGATCCCAGGTTCAAATCCCGGGCTGGTAGAAATATTTGAATGGCCTAGATTTATTTCTCTCGTGAATTTGGGTGTAATTTATGGTTGTCTGTGTATGTATCCATGACACCCGCGATACAGGGTTTCCCTAGTGCGGGGCTGGGGTGTGCGTTATTATTTATATTATTATTATCATACAGTGTGAAAAATATATAAACATACTGATGTATGTATACTTCATTAAAATCGATTACAAATAAAACTCACCAGTAAGGACAACACGACGTTTAGTCCTCATTTGTTTTAAAGCGTACGAGATGTTGGAGTGAGAGTTCTTGATCCGATGACCTTCATCGCAGATTACCAAGTCTGGACCAGGCCGTACGAGTGCCTCGTACATTTCTGGAAAAAGGGAGAAACCTTACAAATTGAAAAGCAAGTTTTCGAGGTAAGTATCGACAACTGATTTTTTGTGCTCTATTTGTATTTTCAACGCCTCCTTATGGCGGAGAGAGTATTTAATGGTGACACCACAACAACATTTTTCTACTCTCCGCGAGAGGGGGCGCTCCCATCTTCTTTCGACGACACCACATCGATCTATCGTTCATCCCACGATGTATTTCGGTCGTCATATTATTATAAATTGTACTCAAATTTAAGTAAACGTAAAGGGTCGCATTACTTATCATCACTGACCAACAAATAAATCACTTCTTTGAAGAGCCTCACCTGTCGTGATACTTGCTCAGAGAGTATTTAAAATGAATCTTAATCGATATACACGAGTATTTATAAAATACCAACAATCTCGCAGGACCATATTACTAACATTTTAGATAACAACTTTTATTCCATGACTTTTAATAATAAGCGAAAAAAATATTATTTTACTTAAGTAGAGGTTTACACTTACGTAAAACGAGTTATACTTAATTACAAATAAATGGCCACGCAAACGGCACATGGTATCTCAGAACGCGCGCTTTCATTCGTAGGTAGACATTGTGCACTTGCCACTTGCGAGAATTATACGCATAGATTGACTACTGTCCTTAATCCAATACTTTTAGTTTGTAGTTAAAACATGAAAACGATCGCTACCGTAAAAAACGATATATAAATATATGTATTTACCATCTAAAAGTTTCTTCTCTTCGTCATTAGGAGTGTCTTCTTTTTTGTCCTCTTTCTTTTCTTCTCTGATTTCGGCGTCCAGTTTAGTCCCCGGTTCTTCTTTATCTGCCTTAAACTCTTCAGACATCTTTGTGTTATCGGAACTCTAATTAGAAAAAAAAATAATACAACTTAATGCATGGTGTGAGTTTCATAAAGCAGTTTTTTTTTCTATATGTCTGTCTTTTTGAAGGCAGAGTAAAATGACTGTTTATTTCTGTTCATCAATTGTAAATCGAGTTTTGTTCAAATTTAATGATATTATTACAAAATGTTTATTGCTGTCTGATCTAGACGATTCGATTTGCTATTGACTCGGTTCGCTAGAAAATCGCATTGAAATAAATCGATACAAAAAATAGTTAGGATTGTCTTGAACCGATTTCGAATCGTAATGTGCATGCACAAGATTGCAAGGTGCGGAGTTGCATTTTTTGGTCTAAGAAATATTTTTAACATAGAAATTTGTAATAAGTATATAAATATAGCAAATTCCTTATTAGCCGTTTCTGCCCACGATTTCGGGCAGAAGTGGATTACAAGGCTTTGGGTGAAAACCGGGTTAAAATCCTAGCGATTTGATTGGGTTTTAACCCCTCTCTGGTCTCGTCAAAGTAGTAAATAGACAAGTTACTTTCAATTTTGTAATTATTTAAAGTTATTTATTTACTTCTCACAGATGGCGTAACGGCACAAAATCCGTATAAAACCAAAAACAAAAATTTGTAGAAGCGCATAGAAAAAATCGTAAGGTCTGCTGACTCGATCTGTAAGTCTGTTGTTACAGCAGTCGCCTTGGTATAGCACAAACGCAAGTTCGAGTCCCGTCGGATCTAAGGATTTTTTCTTAGTGCTCGATCTTTATGTAAATAATTATTAAAACAAGTGGAGTAATTTCACAAAAAAAATTAACATTATAGTAAAACGTCATAACATTCATTACTATCAATATTACAACTTATTAACTGTTTAGTGTTCGCAGTTTCGAATCGGTGTTATTTTTTTAAATTTAGTTTTAGTTTTTTAGAAAATTTACCACATGCTTTACACAAAATTAATTACAGACTACAAATTGGAGTACGTACCTGTGTATCTTCATTAACATCTGGTTTCTTCTCTTCCTTCTCTTTTTCTTTTTCCTTGTCGACCTCGGACTTGGCGTCTTTTCGCTTCTTACGAGGCTTCTTGTCCTTTTTCATACTGAGCAGACGGTACAACTCATAACCTATCATTAGAACGCCGCCTGTCGTGCTCCAATCCTGAAACATAACATTCCAAACGTTAACATGACTTAGTGAGATATGTGATGCGGCAGCCGCCCCGTGGTCTCTGTCAATAAGGAAGGAAGGAGGAAGCGAAACGAGTTTAAAACCAAAACCTGTCATCTCCGTCTATCCCACCAAACGAAAAAAGTAATGGAATGTACAAGTAAGAACCTATAAATAGTATTATATAACTGCCTCCGTGGTCGAACGATCACCAAGCTGGTCTGCCACGCAGAGGTCCCGAACGCGATTCCTAGGCTGGGAGAAATATTTGTATGGCGTACATTTATTTTTCTCGCAAGTATGGGTGTAATTTGTGCTTATTTATGTGTGTGTGGATGTAACCCGCGATACAGGGTTTCCCTAGTGCGGGGCTAAGAGTGTGTGCCTTATTAACAATTGTCGAAAACGGTGTTCCCAATCTATAGATACATGTATAGATATAGCTACAAAGAGTGAGATAGAGTTGTTAAAACCACCAAATATTAATTAATAACTTTTTACGAGTTCCAGATTTCCGGAAATGATTTTACTGCATCGTAAGTCAAAATTATTGACCAAGGTAATCGAAGTTGGATTTTAATTAGTTATTATTATTACTTTAACTTACTAATAGTCAAAGGATATTTAAACTACTATTGTCATCACCATCAACCCATTTATACTGCTGGGCACGGGTCTCTTTTCAGACGAGGGTTTAGGCCATAGTCCGCCACGCTGGCCCAATGCGGGTTGGGGACTTCACACGTTTTTCCGAGTGTCGTGAACCTTCTTCAACGGGCAGGTTTCACCACGATATTTTCCTTCACCGAAAAGGTCACGATATATTTCAAATTAAATTTTGCACATAAATTCAGAGAAATTCAGAGGTGCGAGCCCGGATTCAAACCCACGACCTCTCTTTGAGAGGCAGTAGGTCAAACCATTATGCTACCACAGCTTTTCGGGATTCCATGGCTACACTTGCAAACCTGGCTAACAGCCGGTTATTATTTAGTTAAGCTATATACTATTCTGCCCTCGGAATAAAAAAGACACAACTGCTGTATAAAGTACGCATAGTTGTGCCTTTTTTCGTTACGAGAGCAGTATTGTACTACTACTAAATTGTGACAAACTACTACTGAGATTTTTACAGAAAACGCTGAATGTTACTGTTAATGTATACCATCCGAGCATTTTATTGGTTAAAATGATCATATGACAACGTTAAGATCCCTCTGGACGCTTTCACAATCGTAGTTCGCATGTAGTTGTAGTTGGATTTATTACTCTTTGATCGCAACTAGACACCATGATTACTAAGTTTCGCAACCAGTGGCGACTGAAGAATGGTCTACGATATGTCTGAAAATCCGTGGTAGTAACCCATTTAGCTCTTTCGGGTATTCTCGATCTAAGATGTTTAAATCAAATATTGTAATGATAAATGTATTCAAATGTATATTTACAAAGAGCAACCAAGACCCTAGAGTTTCTTGCTCATTCTTCTCGAGGGAATCTGACTTATGAATGTGCAGTAGAGTTTAATCAGTATGGGAGTTTAATCAACTGCCTCCGTGGCCGAACGGTTACCAGGATTGCCACGCAGAGGTTCCAGGTTCGAATCCCGGGTCGGGACAATATTTGTATGGCCTACATTTATTTCTCTCGTGAGTTTCGGTGTAATTTGTAGCTATCTATGTCCATGGCACCCGCTATACAGGGTTTCCCCAGTGCGAGGCTATGTTGAGTGTTTGCGTTATTATATTATTTAAAAAAAGTATGACGATTTCAAGTGTAATTTGCTGATGAAATAAAGATTATTTTACTTTGACTTTAACTTACGTCATTTTTGCGCAACGTACACGTATGAGGACTTTTAAACAATTGTCTTCGTGAATTAGACGCTTTTGAGGTAGTCCATTAAATGTCTGTATTTTATATTACAAAATTTTTAATGTGTCTTGTCTATATTTACCTTGACGACTTTAGCACGCATTTGTAATGTCTTATGGCTGTCGTTCAACACGTAGATGGGGAATTGGCGTGGTCTCACTTCTCCTTGGCCAGCGATGGGACTGTTAGTTGCATCCAGTGGCAGCCACATGTTGAACTCCGCCACCTGTAAATAAGTGTTAATATGTTAAATAAACTGTTTAAATACAATTTTTGATTAACTCCGTGACCTGGCGGTTAGAAATATGGGTGCTTGATGAGGTAGTGCTGGAACTGATTGCTGATTGGAATCATTTGGTAAAGCAGCTTTTCCTAATTTGATTTTGGTTGGGGTGTTTGAGGTTCTGCATACATGCCTTTTGTCTATTGTTTTTGCTTATAAATTAGTTTTTAAGCGCAATAAAGTATTGAATGTATGTAGTAAAGTATTGTATAACATTTTTTGTTTCACTAAATATTATGCGTGTACATTTTAGAGTGGTTACACACGGCGATTTGCAACGCGCGACTGCATCGATACAAACGCGCAATTGCATCGATGCAATCGCCTATAAATCCCAAGTGTATCGATGCAATCGCGCGTTTGTAAAAGTAGACGTTTAGCGACTGCATCGCGTTTGCATCGCTGCCAAAAAGTCGCCATAGTGTCGTCGTCGTAGTGTATCGCTCTAAGTGGGAAGTTTGACTCACCCAATTCTGAAGCGTATTAATAGGCATTATACAAAGCACAGTCTTCGAGGAGGTATGTCGCAGGAAGATATCGCAGAAACAGACGATTTGCAAGGTCTTCCCGAGTCCCATAGAGTGTGCCAGAATGCACCCAAATCCGGTTGACGTTGAGAACCTCTCTACGGATTCTATTATGTTGTCGAATAGGAATCTTACACCACCAATCTGAAAGATTAAACAAGGAAATTAAAGTCCTATGTATTCAATTTAAGGTGTTCACCAACCCAGTGAAGTTTAAATCTTGCGAAATAGAAAACCCACCCTCCATAAAATAATAAAACACAAACGCAACTACAATCATAAGCACTATGTTTTGGTTAACAGCACCTTCTGAAGTAATTAAGTAAGAGATTTAGAGTGAAGGCCGCCACTTGCTCAGACGGTACGAGGGGGTTTTATAGTGTGGCTGAGGAAAGGATCGGATTATCCCATTAGTAAAAACCAGAAGATTCTATGACCTGTTAGGACAATGGCCGTTAATTCCGAGTAGCAGACGTGAAGTTACAGGCCGCTTAACCGAGTCGGTTCCTGAGGTAGCTGAGCCGTTTCTGAGGAGTGAGACTTTACGTCATAGTTACGACCCGCTGCACACGGGATGCTATTGAATATCGTCAGAAAAATCTTGTTGAAATTATCCCGTGTGCACTTACTTTGCCACCCTCAGAAGTGGAATATTTTATTCCAAGAATATCGCCTGATAGATCCAAGTCGTGGCGACATGTGCCACAGTGTAAATGTTAATTTAGTAATAATTTTTCGTACCTGATGTGGTTTGATAATTCTTGCTATCTGGGGTGCTAGGAAGATGTCCTCCTCGCTTTCGGGATGACCAATGTTGATCAAAACTCTGCCTTGTTCGTCAGGAATGTTGTAGGCGTCGTTCACGTGGAGACCTAGTTTTGAAAATAACTATTAATATTTTATAATGTTGATAATTGTTCAAATCTACATAATGCAAATCGCACCTTTAGAATGTAAGTGACCTAATACAAAATTCTAACTTTTTGGGAATACGCAAAATAAAGTTTGAAGTTGTGGAATTTTTACATTATTCACTTAATTACTCTTAAAGTACTAAGGTCCTTGTTAGTCCTGGAAAATTATGATTTTCGGAACGGAAATTGTAACTTTTTCGCCAACGGTGGTGACGTGTTGTATATGCAGATACAGGTTCAATAATAAATGTGCACTCCTGCTATTTAAAACATAATGAAAAAGACTCATATAGTGAAAAAGTCTGTGCCATTCGAGCTTTAAAGTGTCAGTTCCAGATTAACAACCATATCGAACTCTCCTACGTAAAGTATCGTATGTCGAAATTGCGAAGCTTACAGGGGAGCGTTTCAAAGTTCTGAATTCACTATAACACGTGACTAGCATTTCTCAGTTTTATTCGGCAAAGCTAACGAGCTTAACGAGCTTTTTGTGAGTAACGACTCACATAGAGTATTATAAAATTCTAGATATTGGTTACATGATCTATGATGATCTATTAGATGATCACTCTATGTGAGTAACGAGTGAATTCAGAGCTTTAAAACGCTCCCCTGTAAACTTGGCGACTTCGACATACGATCCTTTATGTAGGAGGAGTCGATATGTGATAAGCAACAGTGACTTTTAAAGTTCGTTTTACGGTATAAACTAATTTTGTAAAATTTTTGAATTAGGTCACTTTTATTCTAAAGGTGCGAAATATCGAATAGCTAATAAGTAATAGACGTGTGACTTGAATAGAATGTGTAGTTTCAAAATATAATCAAAAGCGCACAACCTTTTAAAGCAGCTACTTGTTAAAGGACCACTATACACATACGCTGTTGTCATGCAGATTAAGAGTCGATGCAACCTCAAATGGCTTGGATTGATTTCACATAACAATGAAATTGTTGAATCAATTACTTTGAAAAAAAAAAACTGATTTGACACTGATTGGTATATGATAAAAAAAAATATAAACTTATCCCGAAATTTTACAAGAAAACCGCTGTATTCAATAAGTACATTATACTAATGATTTTTTTGTTTGTAAAAAAAAATCTAAAATAAAGCTAGTGTCCCTGCCGATCGACTCGCGCAATGGAACCGATTCAATACGGGAAAATTTAAATTCGAGATGAGGTAGTATAGTACTACTAATACTCTTAACTGTTTAAATGCATCGTAACATATTTATGTACCCGTCTGTTGCAATGGCCTACTATTTTGAATAGTTCTGTCACCCTAAGGTAACTTAGAAAGGAAATTTGCTACCTACCAATAAGGCTCCTGCTTTACTACGTCTTTCGTCTTGTCTTTGTTTGTTCCTGAATTTTGATTTATGCATTGAAGACAATTTGAATTTTAATTGTTTGAAATCAACTCAATAATAATAATACATTATATAACAAGCGCCAATGTTACCCTACCTAGCACAGCATGAATAGGACAGTTTAGATGTTATGTCTTAAGGCCAGTTGTAGATTTTATATTAAGAACATCTTAATATTGCATATACTCGTACATATGTATAGGCGGAATTAATGTCTATAGATTGACAGTTTGTTTTCCAATTGGTATGGTTGGTACGTTAATAAAAAAACATTACCAGAATTATTGGGGTCATCTTCGGCTTCAGGACTGGGTGGTACTTCAGAATCGGAGAGCATAATACAATCGTCAGAATCTGATGTTGACGAAGAAGATTCATCGCCGCTGCTGCTCGACACTATTTCTACAACCTTATGAAATAAAAAAAAGCTGGTGAAATTGGATTTAGGCCGCGAATATGTTAGCCGAACTTTTAAATAATTTTAAAATTTTCACATCTATATAGCAATAGTTTCAGAACCCAGATGTAACTTTGCATTAAAAGTTATTAGAAATGTTTGATGATAGGAATTTCATGAAGAAATTTAAGGCTATTAAAAGCTTTCTAATGAAAGAAAAATAGATATACCTCTTTCTTGTCAGTCTTCTGGTCAGGCTTTTCCGATTTGGGAGCAGACCCAGATGGCGTAGGTTTTGGAATCTTTGTGACCTCCACTTGACCTTGTTTTAGAGTTGTCCTTTTAGTCTCCCCCGATGGCAACTTCACTAATACTGTGTTTGGCAAACTGAAATAAAGATTTTTGTCTTTGATTGTTGAAAAACATTGAATATATTCTTTAAGAACCGAGACTCTATGGGTCTATATAGTTGCAAACCAATATTTCAAGTCTTGTTTAGCTGTGAAAGTATATTCACTGCTAAGTATAGGATTGTAGTACATCATTCCAAGTTACTTACGACCATTATGTCATATATTAACAACTGTTGAAAAAACTACCTCTTCCTCGAAGAAGTTTCGTAAAGTCGGCATAAAAACTAAACAACTACAAAATCATCTTCATAAGATATCAAAAAACACATACTTGAGTTTATTAGAGGATTGTTTCAATATTGATGATCCACCTTGTAGAAGCGACAGTGTTTTCTGATGAATTTTGTTTTGTCTATTTAGTGCTATTTGCCTTTGTACCTGAGGAAAGGTCATATTTGTAAATTAATATAATATATGAAATTGTACAGAATTATACATATAAAATTATTTGGACAAAGTTTTGATTGAATTAATAACTCATACTACATATGTAGGCATTATGTATTTACTAATCTTGATATTATAGCTTCCTCTAAGTAAGTTTCTCTGTTGTAAGCTCCAGGACCTCGTCTAGAAGGTCATATTTACCTGTTTTTTATCTAGTCTATGTAAGTAAATCTCGTTTTTCCCCTACCTCGCCTTTCTTCAATATTTCCTTAAATTATATTTTTAATACAAGTGTAACAAAATAAAGAATGCCATGGAAATTAAGAAAATGTAAAATTCAACTAAATTTTACTAAGTATTACTACTGAGTCTGAAATATATAATAGTAGGTTATCTCTTTTTTATAAGCGCATGAGGCATTGAAACACTTACTTCTCTTATAATCCTTTGTTGCTCCTGGACTCTGGCCAAACGCTCAGACTCCTGCCGTTGTGCAGTTAGGGTGGAAGCATCCAGGTTTTTCTCATCCATGACCTCTCTGATATTTCGTCGCACATTTAATGCATTTGTACTGCCTTTTTTCTACAATTAAAAAAAAGTTTGTATATAATAATAGACATATTAGTTGCTTTTATAATAGTTGTACATTAAATTTGTTATATTAAAAAATTTGTGTCTCTATTTTAAAGTGTATACTTATTTCCTGGTATTAAGTAGATGTGTAAAAATATTGCAATTTGTAATAATTCCCTGACAAGGGTCTGAAAACTGATTAGTACCAGCAGAAATTATTGATATTAATGAATTATTGATATACAGATTTATGTTATTAACCTCCTGATTTGAATGACAGTTGAACATTTTTTTCTTGTATTTATGTTGTTTATACCATTGGTCCACCCTGGGCAACAATCTACAAATACCTTATTCCTCCTACTATTAATCCTTTTACCACGACGGCAAACATTACGCTTATATGATAAGAAGAAGAAAAAGAAGACTAAGTCCAATTATCAGAAATGGGGAAATATACTTATTATTGAGAAATTCTTTACTTTGGTAAAACCTCACTTCTAATACTAACCTTGTACCACAAAAGTTAAGGTGAAAATTAATTCTTTAGTAAAATACCATAACAATATTCTTATACTGAAACATACATAATTACAAGAAAAATGAAATATTGGTATGGCATGGATTAATTACCTTATTTCCGCAATGAATGTTGTTAGTTCAAATATCAAATTTTACAATTTAACCAAGCACTCACCTTATATCTAAACTGTTAAGGTAAATTTAATTTAATAGCCTATAAGCTAGGAAATTATAAGGTCATGTAATTTTGAACGAAACATGGTTTACATAATACAATTAATATATATATAATAATACAATTATCAACTTACATAAAACTCAAACAACTCAAGCTTACTTTGAGCTTTAAGACAATAGTACTGTGCCAAAGTAATTATAAATGGTCAATTAAACATTATTATTAAGTACAATAAAAATAGACATGAAGTTAATATAGATCCTAGTTTAGATGACTAGATAAACTTATACACAAAGACACTGTATTGTAGGTAATTCAATGAAATATTGATATAAATGTAGTTTATAGCATATACAAGGTAAAGTAAATTTTAATCATTTCATGTGGAAAAGAAGTCATCAAATACTATATATACTATAATAAGTTCATGAAACATGAGTTTTAGAAATAAGAATACATTAGTTATAGAAAAAATATTCGAATAACAAACCTCTACTTATAAATTTTTTGGGTGCTTTATCTGTTTGATTTAAGATTGCAAAGAAATAAAACACTTCTTAAAAATAGTTCTGTGCACTCACCTCTTGTTCAGAATCAGTTTTCTTTTCCTCATCCTTTGAGTCTTCACCTTCCTCATCCTCTTTCTTCACAGGTTTCACACTAATCTCATCCATTTCTTTAAGTTTTTCTGCTATGTCAAAGTCCTGACTGTTCTCCTCTTGTTTGATATCTAACAACTCTTCTGCTGTCTTTTCGGTACACAATTCACCCTCATCCACTTCTGCTATTTCCACATTCTTGGATAAGTCTAAGTCTCCATCATTTATAATATCACTAATAGAAAGTGTTTTTGGTGCCTCGGATGGCTCAGCCTCAGGTTCTGGCTTAGGAGATGGACTTAAGCTCCTAACAGACTTCTGGCCCTCTTTCTTTGCCTCAACAATATCCCCAGTCTCAGGGTCAATATAACTCTCATTCTCTTCATTCAATTCCTGTACCGCTGTTGGATTTACCACAAATTCCTCCTCCGATAAACCATCACTATCCGATTTACTATCCTCACTTGAAAAATCACTGAGTTCTAATATATTATTACCAACTAACCCGCGAATTGTGATACCTGCTTCTTTCTTCAGTTTCTTTGTGAAATCATGGAAGTCTTTGACTGCTTCCATTTTTCGTTTAGCACTCATGGGGCGGGCACGCGGGGCGGAGCGCCGACGGGAGCTCATCGCCGCCGCCTGCGCAAAATGCGCCCGCTGTATCCTCGCGATGGTCTCATCATCGTCCTCACTATCTACCAAGCTGTCATCCGACACCTCCTCGTCTTCCACTGTCGCCCTCATCTTACTTTTTACAGATTTCTTGTCCACGAAATCTTCCATGCTCGTGAGGTTCTTCTTTTTGCAATAAAAATCCCACTCAGTTACATATTCACCACCTCAAGCCGTCACATTTCATCATAGATGTAGAAGATATTCATACAGAAATAAACTGGTTTTGTTTTCGTGTGATCAGATATAGACCGCATAGTTCCTAATCAGAAATGCCATCATTTCGTGCAAATAAATCCTTTTCTGAGGATATTTCTTTGTAACTAAGCCATGGGACGCGGCATCAAATATGCACAGAAATAAGCCGGAGGACTTCAATGTACACCCTCAAGACTTGTTTAACTTTAAAAACATCACTCACTCGCTTTTTCTATTCATTAATTACCTTAGACAAAACATAAACTGCAATTAAAATTTAGGAAGCCATTACTTCCGCAATAAATAGCTTTTATTCGACTGTTCTATAGAATTTGTGTATTCGACAAGCGTGTTTACAAAAATTATGGAAGACGTCACAAGAAAATCTACACAGGGACCTTAATGACAAGCAACTACAAGGTATGTAATAGTCTGACTTCTTTTCGGTAATTATAAGCAGTAATGGAGTATTTTGGTCCATAGCTTCAAAGGAAAATCATCCTTATTAAAGGTCATCAACGCGTTACAAGTTACATAGGCACAATATTTTTGCACTGGCAACATTATGATTTAGGGTTGTCATTTTATATATTGTCTCTGGAACAAAATGAGAAGATGAATGTGAGATTGAAGTGCGAATACCGAATGCCATTTCGATCTTTGATTTGATTTCGGTTTCACCTGTGAAACCCATGGAACGGGTATCGATTTTGCAATATTAGATTCGATTTCGAAACTTTTTGCTTTGCTTGCACGCTTTTGTTTCATTTGCAGATAATTTAAGTTCTTGTAGGTCAGATTGGAAACCTATAACTTTACCAGTTACTGTAAAATAAAATACATATTTTGTCCCTGGAGACTTAGTGCGTTATTATTCTAAGCCTGGAGAATGATTCTGTCTATATTAGAGAATTATAATTGTGATTGTTCACTACTCAGATTACAGAATAATCTGAGGTTCACTATCACATCACATTTATTTAGGACCTTTGTTAAGGTGAATGACGGTAAATTGAAGCACAATACAGGATATTGATCTATTTATTTATTTACAGTAAATTATATGTATAACAAATTGAATTCTATATTTATAACAGTTAAGCAGCAGCACCAACAATGCGGTTATCTCTTAGCCGCAGACGTCGCTCCCGCTCAAATTCTTTCATTCGGAGGACGTAACTGAAAATAAAACAATCACCACTGCACAATAATACATGAAATAAACATGCATACAGTGCATAGAACAGACAAATATTATTTTCATCAACCAGTTCCACCTGTTGAAAGGTTTATAAACATTCTTCAGATCGTATCTCAAAAATATAATATATACTAACTTTTTAAGATAATGACCAAAAAGAAAATTCTTCATAGGTGACAGAGATTAGAAATGTCAGTAAAAATATTTGTCAGTTTAAAAGAGAAGAATATATTAATCTTATAGGCAAATTTATAAATTAATAATAACAAAAAATAAAACTGACACTGGCACAAGCCTAGTGGCTTATAAAGGAAGTAATAATAATAAGAGAAGAAATGTGGCTGCCTTTAAGAGGAATAATAGTCCAGTGTAGTTGTCTAAACGAACTGAGAAATGAGAATGAATATGCAGCTCCACATAGTTGATTAATATTACACCCTGACTTGATCCAATCGTTTTGGCAAATAACCCAACCAAAGCCACCAAAACCAACCAACAAAAGGTCTTTTTGTTGATGCAGTAAGCAACTTACTCTTGTTGTTCGCAGTTCAAGTAATTATGCTTCTCATGAGCGCATTTATAGATCATTGGCATGTTCTTATAGCGACAAACTTGGTAGTCAAGCAAGAAATGAGCGCAGTAGTCGCGCTTCTCAGGCGGGATACGAGCTGAGATAAGGTCGTCCTCCTTGGCTATCATTTCTGAAACAGAGCGCCAACAATAATAATGTCATATAGTAACGAAATAGAAGAAAGTTGAGATTGCTTGGAGGCCTAAAACAAGTAAATTCAATTGTATTTTTAGTAAGATCTGTTTTTATTTATGATGATATTTCGTGTAACATAACCTAAACAAAATTATGTAACAATGACAACAATATCAAGAAACTATATAATATATTATTTGTTTACTAAAGACAAGAAGTAGGAAATCTGAGAAACGTTTAGTGAATGTTGTAAAATACCTCTTCGTTTTCGTTTTCCCTCAAATCCTGCATGAGGATCGAAAGTAGCTTTATCGTTCATTTGCAGGCCAACATCGCGAGTAGTGAGTGTTCCTGCTATCTGGCCCATCTTGATTGGGAATCAGCTTTTGTTCTGCCGGAATAAAGAAAAGATTTTTAAACAATAAAGTCCAAATTATATCTCCTTAGAAATATTGAAAAACCATGGAGGAAATTTTACTTTACACTTTACAGCGATTTTAGTATAGGTCAAGTGTAGAGAAAGAGATAGGAGATATAGTAATACTCTGATAATTTCATGGTTTGTCTGTCTCTAACGTTTCGAATAGCTACATACGAGATTACAAGCGCAACTGACACCGCGAAATGACAGCAGGATGGCGTATTATATTTATAGTTAGTACGACAAAGATAGAACATACATTGATACCATTGGTACTTTTGAAGTACGGGTAGATTCAAAATAATTTGGAAGTGTGTATGCAAGTGAAGTCCAATTTTATAGCGAATTAGGGAACTATCAATCACAGACAACCAATGAGTTAATTTTAATATCTGCGCAGTTTGTTTTAAATATGGATATTTCAAAAAGATTTAATAATCATGGTTTGTCGATTATAAAAACCATTGGTAAAGGCACTTATGGGTAAGATTTTTAGTTAATATCTACCTACCTAGAAATCATTACGGAATCTTTATCATAAAATACTTCGATTGCAGTTTGATAAATATCTCGGACATGCAGATTTTCTATCACATTACACTCGATACTCATGTTATTTTAATCTAAATTATATTAAATATAAATTGTAATATAAGTTAAGTATGTACTAATTAAAGTACTTGTGTTAGGTACTTCGGAAACAACGACGCTACGGTACCGCAAACATCTAGACCCGAGACAAAGAAAAGTTCATTTCCTACATTTACCTGGCCGGGGATCGAACCCGGGACCTCAGAGAGGCCACACCACGAAAACCGGTGTGCAAGCCACACCTATTGTTTACCACTGAATTGTTTTTATCTCGCAACTTACATAAGTAAGGTGGTAGAATGTGAAACAAATCGTGTTATCCTATTTTTGGCGATATAGTTAAAAAATAGTTACGATTGGTCCATTGTCAGTCACCGGTTCCATTAACCTGCATTGTATTTCGGCCGTTTCCTGGTTCGTCCGTGCGGAGCGGTGCGGCATCGGTACGTTTGGTATACGTATACGCAGTACTTACCGAACGCCTATATTTCAATGTGCGCTTCCTGATTGGCGCGGTTTGTACAGGAACGGGAAGGGATCGTTTCGGTTTATGGTATACCACACCAATCAGGAAGCGCACATTGAAATATAACCGCTCGGTAAGCTTTACTGCGTATTCCGAGGGTACCGATACCGCACCGCTACCACACCGACAAGTCAGAAAACAGTATTATGTTTGTTTCAGGAATGTATACCTATGCGAGAAAGGAAAAAGCAATTTAATGACTATAGTCAAAGATATTGAACTAAATTTAAAAATTCAAGATCACGAACAGGTATTGTTATAAGTTACATTGCATTGCTTTTAGAGCAACGTGAAACGGAAATCATTGAAGACCTATATAAGATGAATGCAATTAAGTTATAGTTAAAAAAATATACATAAATACTAATTTCAGGACATAGCTAATGAAGTTAAAATTTTATCTTCATTAAAGCACCCAAACATCATCAGGTTTTTCGACTGTTACTACAATGATAATCACGTCATGATATCGATGGAATACGCCACGGGCGGGAATCTAGCGGAATACATGTATCAGAGATATCCTAAATTGGTTAAACAACAGGTAACTTAAGTAACGCATAAGACCTATTCAGTTAAACGCGATATTTGCTACCGCTGTTAGTCGCCTAATCCGAGTGGGTTTGCGGTATTCCTACTGTTGATACCTAAGCGGATACTGCTACCGCTATAGGTAGCGAAACTTTCTTAATTTTGGGCGGTCTAGACAATTACTTCTGTGCCATCAATAGATTTGGTATAGGTACCCTAAATGTATGGTGCGTGTAGATTACCGTCTCAGGCGCACGACTTGTTCGTCCCGTCACTTGATATTATAAAAAAATAATTGCCGCCGCTTCCGCGCCGTCTGGCGAAACCAATTTCAAAAAGTCCCGTTCTGGGCGTTATTTCAGGTTCCTTCTACCCTTGGAACTTCATACAAATATTCGGCGGAATGCCGCGCGGTATGTTTCGCTACATTTTTTCGTACTCAATTTTGGTAACAATTTCTTTTTATTTAAATATTTATAGAATATCATCATGAAGTATTATTTAATACTCGAGTGTATTTCAACGAATATTTCACGATGATATTATATTCGAGTAATTAAAAATTGTAACCAAAAAAGAGTCTAACAAAAAACTTACCTGAAAATTACTGAGCAGCGGTAGCGAATATCGCTTATGATATCTGAATAAGCCTTTATCTGTCAAAACGAGCGCAGCACCTAAATAGAAACGCAGATGGTCGAAGAGAAGTCGCTTTTTCGACACATGTACATAGATACGTGACATAATCAGCTAAACAAAAGAACACAAACTTAGGGTCGTATTCCAGAACTCTACTCAATGCTCAGGTCAGGACTTGAGTATGATTTAAAGCACTAGAAATCATGCTCAAGTCCTGATTTGAGCATTGAGTAGAGTTAAATATGACCTGAAATATGACCCTCAGGGTCGTATTCTAGAACTCTACTCAATGCTCAAATCAGGATTGCACTGGAAACACAAGTACTGGAAATACCACCCTAATGGCAGGGACTTGAGTATGATTTCGAGTGCTTTAAACCATACTCAAATTCTGACTTGAGCATTGGGTAGAGTTCTAGAATACGGCCCTCAGTCACCCAGCTAATAACACAGATAGTAGGCAGGCATTAAAAAAAGTTGAAAATCAAATCAAAATCATCATCAAAAAACAACAACACCTTAGACGTAACGTTTTAATAATAAAAAAACACTTGCTAACTTAGTATCTTAATAATTTGTTCTCTAATTTCAGGAAATTTTGTTTTTTTTATGTCAAATACTATTGGGAGTTGACTACATTCACAAGAAGAACATCATTCACAGGGATTTGAAAGCTGAAAATATATTGTTGACTGGAAAACACGGGATTATTGTTAAACTTGGCGATTTTGGTATCTCAAAGATGTTGGCCAGGTTGACTTTTTCTTCACATTCACATAATTAAAAAGAGGAGATAATATATTATTTGCATAATAAATCCCTCAACTCTAGGATACCATGAATATACTCGTATTAACACTACACAACTTGTATTCCAGTGCTAAGAAGACTTCCACAGTGATAGGCACTCCATACTATTTAGCACCAGAGCTCTGTGAAGGTAAACCCTACGACACTAAGAGCGATATTTGGTCTCTAGGTTGTCTGCTATATGAAATGTGTACGCATAGAAGAGCTTTTGATTCAGAGGTATTTATTATTATTATAACACGTTGCTGCTGTAGTACCTAACACTTGGTTTTCATTAACATAAGTTTTCAAAAATTGCTAATTCCTTTCTAAAATAGGGTCCGCAGATGCTTTTCTAAACTATCTACAAATTATAATATACATCTTCAGTTCATTCATAGTCTAAATAAGACAACTAGGGTAAAAGTAGAGCAACTTCCGCATGGTCGGCGCGTAAATGTCTACACTTCGCCAGTGTTGCCAAATAGACTAAAGCAAATGTCGATAGACAAAAGCATTTGTTGCCCGTGGTACTACTGTGCTATTAAGTAGTAACACGGGCAATAATAATCTCCAGTGTTACTACCGACAGGCCTAGTAGTAACACGGGAAATTGTTTTTGTCCGTTGTGCTACCAGTAGTAATACGGGCAATAATACTTTCCCGTATTACTACTACCAAGATAAGAAGCGTTTCATTAATTTCATAAAACAAACGAACTAAAAGTCAAACATACCTACAATAAAAATGCATTTTTACTAGCAAATACAAGTCCACATTTATTCTTATTCACTGTATACGTTTTTACAATAAGATTCCGGACGTTTTTACAATAAGATTCCGGATATATTAAGATTATCATTTCCTAAGTTTAGAAACTACATTAAAAATATTTTAATTGAAAAGTCATATCACAAAATTGAAGACTACGTGTTAAATAATGATGTATGGAAATAAGACACAAATTTAATTTAAAGTGAAATATGAATATATTTGAATGTGATATTTGAAAAGAGCATTAGAGTTTATTACTCTTTCTTCTCAGGGAAGTCGGCATAGTGAAAGTGCAGTAGAAGTAAAGTCGCTAGTCGCTAGTTGTCGTTAAAACTACTATATGAAAATTCTACTCATAAGGTGCTCATCAACTTTATGGTTTTGGCACAAATAAAAGACCAGGCCATATCTTTCAATTAAAGTGGCCCTCTCTATCAATCGCTTGATTATACGGGAAGTTATAGAGCTATAACCTGTGCAAGCAAGCCCACGTAGGGACCAGGGACAGGGAAAAGTTGAGGTCTTAAACCCAGATCAGCCCGCGGACAGGGTTGTCAGACAGTTGTCACAGACTTTATCCGGTGCTGAAAAGGCTAGTGCCTTGGGTAGGGTTTGCATTATCCGTCCATTTCCTAGATCCGGATATTACGGATAAAACGGATCTTTATTTATTTTTATACATAAAATAAAACAAAAAGAATAAAACATATTATAATATCTTCTAATCATTATTCAACATGAAATATTTAAGCAGAAACATAAAAACAAAGAATTTAGTCCACATTTTCTGTTGTTTATCAATTAAAAAATAGCATAACAAATAAAAAACAAAAAAGGTCTCGTTACTATAATAAAATAAAGCATTTGAATGTTTACCTAAATGCGATAATAACCAACTCCCATAATTGTATTAAGAAAATCAACATTGTTGCATTGATGCAAATCATAACACTTAAAAATATTAACATAAAATTAATATTCTATAATATAATAAAACATTATAATACTAAAGAACAATGACAAAACTATATTTAAGAGAATTCGTTACGCGTCATGGAATGTCTTAATTATAAGTTTCAATAAAATAAATTAATTAGGGTTTTCAAATTATAATAGCGGCCTATCTAAGTCTGGAAATAAAATCATATATAAAAAAAACTGTAATGACTATTTAAGACGTAGCCGGACTGATATCTTTAACTATCCGTTTCTTAACGTTGAGTGACATTTAGCCACCAATAAAGGAATTTGAGTACCTACGTATGGATATAGTTAAATTTTTTCACATTTAGTTCTCTTAATGAATCGACCGATTTGTAATAAGCTAATAACAGATTGATTACTTCATTACAAAAAAAAAGTCGATAATTTCTTCTCCAAAATGCCACGCGACAAAATGGTAATATTAACAAAAAGTTCCCGAAATCAGGGCACGTTTCACAAAAATATAATTGTTACCAGTGCAATAGTCTGTGGTATTGTGTTAATTAATTCAGTTTTTTGTTATGGCTTAACTTCATGCCTTTTGACCGTACCTGTATACAAAAGAATTTCCTCTGAATTTTCGTTACGTCACAAACCCACAGCACCATTCAGTTTCTATTAACTCTATTTAAGGTGTCTGTAGTTTATTTTGACATAATAATACATTGAATATATTTTATTCAATTACGTAACGCAATAACCTCCGAAACTTCAAACTGGAATATCTTTAATTCCTGACTTCTCAGAATAGTTGTAAACCCAAAACAAAATTTATTCAGGAATTTCAACTCTATATTTTCACATATTTTTCATAAGCAAACGCATACAAATTATGTCAACAAAAATTTATATGGGAGTTTGCCATTGTTCTTTATTTTTAATTTTTTTTCCCTAAAAACCCCCCAAGGAATTCATCCCCTCAAAATTCCCTCCGGGACTCAAAACAATACCCCCGAATTCGCAGGGAACCTCGCCTCTGGCAGAACTACTGAGTATTTGTTTTAAGAACAAGGTAGTAAGAGAGAGAGAGAGCGCATAATGGATATGGTGTGTGATTTGATTAGTTTACTCATTCACTGCGCATGCACCGAACTTAATAATAAAATAATTCTTTACATAAAAACGGTGAGGTAACTGCGTGCGTGAATGAAATGCGGGCAATGCCTTCTACTTTCATTCTCAATTAATAAAAGAAAAAGGTGTTCCCCGCGCAAATGACTTTGATATGACTGTTACGCTTAGATTTTTGCTGTGTCCGAGATATCAGAATTACCCGGATACGCAAAGATGTCGTTTCCGGATAACATATTTGCCGGATATCCGGATATTGCAAACCCTAGCCTTGAGTGAATTACCTGTAGGTACCTATTTTCCAGATAGGTACTGGAGCTGTTGGCACGCTCACTTCCCGTTATGCATTGCACGACTGTTGCCACCGCTAAGCCGTTGAATCTAAATTAAAATAACTACCAACTCTCCCCTGGTGACGGAGCTGTAGGCACGCCCACTTCCCTATACCTAAGCATCTTTCCAGTTCCCATTATTCCTACGCGACTGGATAGACCGGAGGATATCTAGTTTATCCTCTACAAGCTATCAGGTCTAGCACCGGAGATATCAGTCGCAGTGTCATGCGACAGTGTCCGAACATAGTTTACAACTCAAAGACCAATACAATCTTACCATTGACTAGCAAACATATCAGATAGGATTAAATCATATTAAATGTTATTAGACGAAACTTAATTAAAAAGTCGCCAAAAAAGTAGCTAAATTTAGCTGCACTTCACTCGGAAGGTAGGGTTGTCACATTGTTTTAGTTGTATGTTACCTACAAGCTGTAAACATAATTTGAATAATTATAACTTTTCATACGACCTCAAAAATTCGTGGAATTACATCTATTTGCCAAGTTTAATTGAAATCGGTTACCGAAAAGTGCGCGAAACCGGATTCATCACCCAGTTTTAACATACACACAAACAATTTGTGGAATGGAGAACCTCTTTTTTTTGAAGTCGGTTAAAAAACGAGGGGTTCATCACAGCACGCTTGTGCTGTATTGAAATAACCTTTGTTAAATGCGGCAGTTACGTATTGAAATTCTTGTACCAGTATCGCGGATTTTTATCTCGATTATGGGAGTATGATTATGAAATAGATCTTGTTCAAATAACCATAATTAATTTGTATATAATTTTTATATGTATGTTACGCATACGCGATTACTCTTTATTTTTACGCGATTACATTATTATTTGTGAACCGATTTAGATGATTCTTTTTCTGTTGGAAAGAAGGTACCCGGTACCTCAGTATTGGTCCCATTTAAAGACAATATTCCACTTCTAAAGGTGGCAAACTAGGTGATGAATTCGGTTTCGTGCACTTTCCCGTAACCGATTCCAATAAAACTTGGCAAATAGATGTAATTCCACGAACTTTTGGGGTCGATTTTTTTTTATATAAAAAAGTTATAATTTAAATATCGAGTGAACGGTTCATATCTATGATTTAAAGGCACGTCTGATGATCCGTGTTTTATGCAATGCGAGTGCATCACTAGATTATTTGAATGTGTTCGTCAGCACACGTGCATACAAGCCGCGCGTCCACGGTTGTGTGGAGTTATCATATACTTATCTTATTATACTATGATTCATAGCTATGTTGTATGTGTACCCCTTAGAATTATTTATTTTCAGACATTAGTCGGACTGGTAAAAGCAATAACAAGTGACAGTGTGCACCCAATAAACACAGCTGTGTATGATAGAGGGCTACAAGACCTCATAGATTCCATGCTCTCTATTCTCCCAGACAAAAGGCCGTCGATAAAGGAACTCATGAGTAGAATGATAATATTACCGACTGTTTATACAGTTTTCTTAGATGCGGGTGATGATGAATTGCTAATGTCAAAAGCTCAGGAGTTTTTGGTTGCTTGATTTGGATTTTTTTAGTAATTAAATTGTGTAAGGTATGATAATGAATTTAAAGTTGATGACATAATTATTGTTTTGATCGAAATAAAACAAATGACATGCTATTTTGAGTTATTGTTCACATGGGTACAAAAATCATCACCCGATGATGAATTGCTAATTTCAAAAGCTCAGGAGTTTTTGGTTGCTTGATGTGGATTTTTTTTAGTAATTAAATTGTGTAAGGAATGATAATGAATTTAAAGTTGATGACATAATTATTGTTTTGATCGAAATAAAACAATAGACATGCTATTTTGATTTTTATTTTAAATGAAAGAAGAAAAAAAAAACATAGTATCTGTTCTTATTATACCACCGTGACCACTTCATTTTGTGAGTCTGTTCTTTCGCTCAATACCATCGCAAGTGTAGCATCCGTTTTACAACGAAAATATCTATTAGTGGTCTGTTCTTAACAACTAATACCTTAATTTACCCTATATAGTAATGTATCTGTTCTTACAGCTAGCAAACTGAAAATTTTAATACACCGGAAGTTCACTGCCCGTTGGTCTGCTCAGTTTCCATTTCTTCTTCTTCCTCTTCTGAAATTATAAGAGAGATTAATTAGAGAAACAAATACATCTTGTTAAAAATTTAATCCGCATTGGTTTTGAAGTCCCCTTCCACGCGGAACTGAAATTATAAGTTTCATAAAGTTATTGTTCACATTGGGTACAAAAATCACGTAATTAAGTTAGGACTCATAATAATGGAATGGTTTCCACTTCTCTATAAAATCCTCTGATACATTATAGGCCTCTTTCTACGGTCCCGGTAGCAGATATCCGCAATTTCTTCATGAAGGAGCTATGATGAAAAATTATAGAATTTATTAAAATTGTAACGAACTTATTTTAATATTTAGATACTAGCACACTTGATGACTTAATGTAAAACTATATAAAAGGGGAACATGCATAATATGTAGACTTATGTGAAATATTGCACTTTTCTATATCAATTCAGAAATAATCACAGTCAGTTATTAAATTTTTGCTAAATAGGCATACATTTTTACACCTATATAAAACATTTCCTAAATATTGAACATGTAAAGCAATGAATATGCTTACGTTGACCATTGGCTTGAGTGGCTGGCTGCAATGGCTTTTGTCCTGGTATCTGGCCTGACTGCAACATCCTCGTCAGCCTTTCCACTTCTTGGAGTGATGAAGCGTTCTTGATGGCCTCCCTAATCTTGTGGATTTCTTGCGGAGTGAGATCTGAGAATATACAAAATGAGGTTTTTTGAACAAATGTCACCTGATGAACAAACCTAGATACAATGACACTACAAGCATTCCAGAAAAACTACATATACTTATATACTTGGACTTACTAGTGACTTTAGCATCAGGCATATTTCCTCCAGGAACAAAAGTTTTAGCTTTCCTTGTAATCTCCTTTTGTATTTCTTTGCCTTTCTTGCTTTTGAACAATAAATTGGCTTCTTCCCTTTCTTTCTGCTTGATCTTTCGGAAGTCCAGAAGTCTTAACTCGGGTAATTTAAATGCAACATATGCTCTAAAATAAAATAATTAATATATTGTAATAAAAGCGGAAATAATATAAATGTTCAATAATATATGTAATAGCTATTTTTTTCTGGGATACACTTTTTACTATACATATACATTACCTGTAATGTTGCTTATTAGCCACTGGATTGTGTAACAATGAGAGAGTACGAAGCTTGGGTAATGTGGAAAGAGGGTCCAAGTCCCCGAGTTCAATAATATTATTGTTGGTAAGAATTATAGATTCAATATTCGGGATGTATTGCTCCAACCCTTCGCTGATTCTCCTGTGGAGTAGTTATTATTGTTAATCAATTGCAACTTCAGAAATTTGATCATGGTCAATATAGAAGACCACCGTAAACTTGGCCCTTCTGATGGTTTGCGGAGCTAGAGCGTGCTCAACTAAATAGCTGCTTATCGCTGTCCACTGATAGTCGCTGACGTGGAAGTTAGGATGAGCATGTTTTTTCCAAAGTGACTGCTACACATGTTATTATTTTGCACTATGGATAATCTGCCCATATAACATCACAACATATAAACAGACAAGAGAAAATTATGTTGCTAATTGTTGCCAAATAATAAGATAATAACGCTTTTGCCCAAGTAATTGTCTTGTACAAAGATATACATATAAAATCATTGAAATTGTATTAATTAATAACTTAATAATTTTAAAATGTACTTATGTAGAAATTGTTTTTACAAGACTTAAATGAGGCCACTTTAAAGACCTTCTTATAATGAACAACATTCACAGGTTTTTCTGATTGGCATAATGCAATTTCTTGTGAATAAATGTGGTGAGTCCTTAAGAGCTATTATCATGTTATAGGCAAGTGCTCACTCACCCCTTGTCGAGCAAACAAACCAAAGGCCCCAGTTTATGGCAGTTTACTTCTAAATATGAACAATATCACAGTACTTAAATGGGCTATCCAAACATTACAAATTGTTTTTAATTAAAAGTGGCCAGTAAAAAAAAGGTAATTTATAAGCTAAATTTTTAACCTTCTACTTTCATAAACAATATAGAATGAATATAGAGTTTGTCCAGGGAAGTATCGCCACTTTACCTATTTCTGCTGCCAAGCAGTAATGTAAGCATTGCTGCGCTCCAGTTTTGAAGGGTAGGGGTGCTGGTAAAATTACAGGCACATGGGACTTGGCAACTTATGTCTCAGGGTGACGGGCGCGGTGACAATTCCCGTCTGATCTTTGCAGTTTAAAGTACTGAGTGGCACTGCAACTGTTATGAACAGTCGTGTCATTTACTACCAGGCTAATGACTTGTTCGTCCCGTCACTTGGTATTATAAAAAGACTGAATACTTACACAATTCGGTTATTATTCAATAATAAGCACTTAAGCCGCTTCAACAGTGGGAAGCCATCCAATTTTCTTATGTCATTGTCAGAGAAGTCTATTGTATCAAACTGGTCTAATGTAGTACCCAAGTTTTCTATTTGTGGTATTTTATAGCCTGTAAAGATGACAGATATTTGAATATAGTAATAACAATTTAAAAATTTACAGTCTGGTCCTCAGAGCGTCTCTGTGAGAGAAGGTTCAAGACACACTGTTGACACTCTGTCACAGTATCATGGTACAGTCAATATCATATGAAGCTATAATAATAACGCACACACTCAATATAGCCCCGCACTAGGGAAACCCTGGGTCGCGGGTGCCATGGACACTCACATAGACAACCACAAATTACACCCAAACTCATGAGAGAAATAAATGTAGGCCATACAAATATTTCTCCCGGCCTGGGAATCGAACCTGGGACCTCTGCGTGGCAGTCCGGCATGGTAACTTCCGCATGGTAAAGTTCCGCATCAGCGCTTCTTAATGAAGCTAGATCACTTTGGTGTACGTGGGACTCTACTTAAATGGATAGACAATTATATTAAAAATAGAACATTTCAGGTACGTGTTGGTAACTCCCTGTCGCAACTAAAGCGGGTAGTCAGCGGGGTACCGCAGGGATCAGTACTCGCTCCCCATCTATTTGGAATATATGTAACAGCTCTAGTTGAGCTCATAGATTCCAATTGTGCCTTTTTTGCTGATAATGGAAAGTTTTTTGCAAATCCACTTACAAACTCTGGACAACTTCAAAAAGATCTAAATTGTATACAAGACTGGACCAAAGATTGGATTATCAAATTGAATGCATCAAAATGTAACATTTTGCATCTTGGTAACAATAACCCCAAAGTCACATACAACTTGCATGGAAATACCTTAGCCACTAGAACAAAAGATCTTGGAGTCAATATTGCATTCAATTTAAAGTGGGGTGAGCATATCACTACAATAGTCAAGAAAGCTAACTCCTATATCTATGTCATGCGCAGATCATTCCAAACAATGACACCAGACAAGTTCCTCAAAATGTATAAGACCTATATACGGCCACTGCTGGAATATGGATATCAAGTATGGAGCCCTTATTTCCAAAATGACACAAACTTTCTTGAAAACTTTCAGAGGAAGGCAACTAAAATGCCACAGGCTCTTTGACGCAAATCCTATGAGGAGAGATTACACGTATTACGCCTTACTACTCTGGAAGAAAGACGCCTTCGTGGTGACCTCCTCGAGACTTATAAAATTCTGATGAGTCAGTACAATCTACCAGCAGTACAAAACATCTTTAAAAGAAAAGAAAACTTTATACTGTCAAGTGGCCACCATCTGAAACTAGTTCGTGCACCTTCCAAAACTCTTGCTGCACACAATTTTTTCAGCAACAGAGTGGTGCACAATTGGAACATACACAGCTACCGGAAGATGTTGTTTCTGTCTCTGTCTCTGTTAATGCCTTCAAAAACAAGCTCAACAACTGGCTATGAAAGAGTGAATCAGTGTTAAAAAAGTGAACTAAAACAACGATATAAATTTCAACACTGTGTGATGTAGATACACCAGTGAAAGCTGCTCGTCTATAATCAAATAAATAAATAAATGTAACATTTCATTAATGAACTATTTATGCATGCAACATGGTGGTCCTCATTGTCACTTTCCATCAGGTGAGATGGAGGTTAAAAGTGTACATATTTATAACAAATAATAAAAAAATTACAAATTTCACACTCATCTTTAAAAAGTCACAAATTCATTTAATGTGTATGCTTCTTTAATAATAAACTTTGCTTTTAAGGACAATTAAAACTATAGTGTCAAACTTTTGCGTACTCTGGCGACAAAAATTCATAGCAGTGATATTAGCTCTTTCAGGTTGTTGTTTTGAAATAAATTCGGAAATGATAATATGAATAAATATCTATTGAAATGGACTACCCTTATGGTCTATTACCATATTTAATCAATGTGACAATAAGTATAATTTGTGTTATAACGTTACTATAAACACATGAACACTAAACGACAATATTTTTTTTTATAATATTAAGTGTATATTTTTATTTCTTTTTATAATTTAATTTTCATAATATATATATATATATATTTTCATAATATAATATAAATAAATATCATTAAGGAAATGATAATTATCACTTAACAAAAAAATGTATAAAAGTCACAATACAAACAATCCTCTCAAGTTTAAACCCGACAGCCGGGACGAGAGGGCCAACAGATGCTAACCTAATGTAACACACACAGATACTAATTTGATTTTTCATAATACGAGGGTAAACCCAGTCAAACATAACCTCCAAATATTATAGATGCAAGGCGGTTTCTGTCGATTCCTTAATGGGTACGATCTTCAATTAAGGCCCGATTACAAACACTAAATCTTACCTCTAAGATCTAGCTCTCGATCCCTGCAAGGGTTCATATATTGCATAGAATTTTGTATCAACTCTGTCGTGAGTTTCACCATTTTGGACTACTATTTTGGAGAATGGCAAATAACACTAGACTTGCCGATTTCCCTCTCTAACACCTATGAAGTACCGCACCGATTATATCAACAATGAATTGTTTAATTAATGATAATAAACATTTCGGGCAAATGCGACGAAAGTTTATAGCCGCTGTGTACGCATTCAAAGATAACCCAAAGACAAAGACAGCAAATTTTTTTTGAACCGTGATGTATTTCTCTGTGGTTTAAAGACTACATAAACTGGCCACAGATTACAGAATATCACTGGCGAACATTTGGATCTTGTATTAGTAGTTTGTGATTTGGATGAGGATGTGGAGATTCTTTGAAAATGACTGTGTTCTTTACATATTTTTCTTTATTTATTTAATATTGAATTTAACGGTGATAATTACTACTATACCGCAGCCTCAGCATCTTACTCATTTTATTTATTTATTTTATATCGCGATCTCTTGATAGTGTGACTTGGCCCGATAAATAAATGTCAATTATTTGACGGTGGTTTGACAGCAGTAATTTGCATAGAGTATTTGTTTTCAAAGTTTGTGGATTCATTTTGTGATTTGTAGTTTAAAAGTTTTAATTACATTTTTAACTAATTTAAAGAGTGATTTATAAGGCCGCGTAGTCATGTTGACTCTTACATTATGTTTTTCGCGTGTAACACACTGTAGAACCACATATCTCCGTGCATTGTTTTACTCATCTCAACCCGAGTCTATTATCAAAAATAACATTGTCAAAGTAGTTAATGTAGCCATATTAGGAGCACCAAACTGTGGCAAGAGCACACTAATAAATAAAATTGTAGAACGAAAGGTATTTTTGGCTTTTTACTCAGTGTTTTGTTTTTAATAATATAACCTCAATCTCTCTCATTTGGTTTTTTTTTTGTAGATTTGCGCGGTGTCCAACAAAGTACACACAACGACGAAGCTTGTTAGAGCTATATGCTATCAAAATGACACTCAAATTATATTTTTGGACACTCCCGGAGTAGTTACAAATAAGGAACAAAAGAAGTAAGTTTTCATGTTGGCCCTACAGCTGTTATTTTGTTTATGATATGAAGTGACAGGTCGAACTACTGCGCTTCGTGCACCTTTAGGTAAGGGATGCACCTATCTGTAACAGTTGCAGCTCCAATCAAAGCAAACTGCACTCCATGTTGATAACTCCCACATGCCTGTACTTTCACCAGTACCCCTACCCTTGAATACTGGAATACAGTAATACTCTTTCACAAGGAGCTCTTCTTCTACTAAAACATTATTACTATGTATCCATCTGTACCGTAGTTGGTAGTCCTACCTGATATGTTCTGACTTTGGTTCCCAACAGAACCGATTTCAGAAACAAACTTTTCTATATAGCTCCTGGTCTGAATATCTTTATTACCAATATGTTCCAGGTATAAACTACCAGAGTCAATGTTAAAAGCATGTCTCAAGAGTTTGAGATGCGCAGATGTAATTGGGGTGGTACATGACATTGCCAATCAATGGACCAGGGACAGCCTTCATCCGGATGTTATTAGGATGCTGCAGGGCACTGAAGATATACCTAGCTTCTTGATATTAAATAAGGTAAACATTAAAATCTTCAGTTGAGGTACATATTAACTACTATTGTACAGTAGAGTGGGCTAATTTCTACAGTTTAAACTGACTTAATCATGTAAAATATGTTCTATATTAATATTTGTGCTATGAAAGCTCATATTTTACATGACAAACATTGGTTTTGGTACTGTTTTTCCATTCTTAAGCTGGAAAAAGCAAAGATACTTGTGCTCCATACAGCCTAGACTGAGAGTAATTTCTTCCTTAAGTTTCATTACTTAAGAAAGAAATCATATTACAAGTCTTCGATAGTGCTTCTTTCAAAATGAAGTAAAGCTGGATAACATTCTTGATTCTGAGATGACAGATTCAAGTCCTTCCAACAAAATATTGGAGATAAATAGCATGACAGTGTGGCAAGTAAAAAAGTCTATATCAGGCAATGGTTGATGGTGGTCTGAGATAAAAACAGTTCTGTGCATGCAATTATTTTTTCATTTAAATTAATTTTTACATATTTCAAGCAAACATCATTACATTTGAAGGCAATAAAACAACATAGAATGGCCAGCAATTAATTCCTTATTTTACTTTACGTCTCAGTGGTTGTAAAGCGATGGTATCTACCCAAATTAAGCCATAATATTGGACTGGCTCACTATTGACTTAACCAAGAAAAAGCAATAAAACTTATTTCCTGATACAAAAGCACTAGCAAAAAAAGAAATCATATAATGCTACCAATTGTAGAATGTTCCCTACTTTTAGTATGTACCTCATTGACTTACAAATAAATGGACGACAGGTCTACTACAAAAACCACGAAAAAAATGTCCCAAGTCAACCTATTCGAAATTTAAATTGTAATGTCATCGCAGTATCGCGCTGTCAGTAGAACAAATGAAGACTAAAGCGGAGTGTCGCGCTCTCTATACGATTTTAGCGCCTTACAAGTGCGGACACTTTTTAGCGCGGACCCGACGTCCATATAATTGTAAGTCAATGATGTACCTATCAAATTTGTTATGCAACTTACACTTTTTACTATCAAGACAAGCATCTATCTATCTATGTACCTATCTTTCTAGATTGCGCTGATTCATTGGTCACTCTTAATTTATATAATCCCCGCCTATCTAGTTTATATAATCAAGTGTCCGGCAGAGATGAAACTGTTGATATATTTGGTGATACATGATATAAATTTAAGGAAAGAACAATGTTGTAGTTTTAGCTTAAGTTTAATTTAAGTAATTAAATTGGATTTAAATTATTATTATTGTTAATTTTAGTTTAATTTTATTGGTAGAGAATTTTTTTTGTATATTTTAATATATATTTAAGTGCATGCTGTTCCTATAATTGAAGTTATAACTATCTGTTAATTAATAAGTATTTATCTTAGAGGATGGGAAAAAAATAAAAGAAAGGAGCTGCCCTAAATAAGGAATGAATGTGCATACCTAAACAAAAACTGAACGAACAAATGGCGGATTTCTTTAGTATCGTACCGTAATCTATCGATAAGCCATTATCGACATGCAAACATTTAATTAAAGTAGATCAATATTCCATTTGGGAATATTTTAGGTTATATGGGAATATCCGGGAATGCCACATCAAATTTTGAATTTATTGTTTTGCGTTTACAAATACTCAATTATTACAAAAAGTGATTTTGCGCAGAAAAAATTTAATTCGAGAGTATATAAAAAAAGAGAAAACTTTGAAATATAAATTTAGAGATCTCATATACATTTCCAACCTCAAGATTCATATTTTCATAGAGAAATTTTTAAACAGTTTCCAAATAGTGTAAGCTTAAAAATAATAAATAAATATTTAAAAAAATAATAATAAAATAATAAAAACCTCGTAGTGAATTATTTTAATAACAGAATATCGATAATATGTACACTTCCAAGAACAACACTATCTCAAAATAATCGTTAACAACAATCATCAAAATATACAAACAAACAGGCAATCTGAAGAAACCAACATAAAATTTGGCAAGATTTATGAATAAACTACTTAAATATGTCTAATTACATGAGATATTTGGGCTTTTGTGCGATTTATAGACAGAAAAATAACACGTGCCTGTACAATGTTACATTGGTTCGATTTTAGCTTTTTCTAATGCTACGTCCCGTGATGCTGCAGCGACGATTTTTATTAATACTTAGTTGTTCTCACTGTCAATATTTTTGTCTATTTTATTACAATACATGCGAATAATTTAATAAAACACTTATACTTCCCTTTGACAACCGTATCATGTACCTTATGTACTGCGAAATGGACACGATTGACATTTAAGATGACGTTACGTTTTTTCGATTCCCGTGTTTGACACAGACCAATGTAATGCTATCTCTTTTGGCTTAAGACGGTACGCAATAGTTAAACAAAGACAATAACATGTTTATGTTTTGAACATCGAAATGAATCCTATACATATAACGTCTGATTTATATATGTCAACATAACATGTCCTTTAGTTTCCATAGTCTAAGGTATTTATTGTCTTGTATACTTTAAGTTGTAAACTTTTTTGGCAATCCTTAATAAATAATTAAATAATTCTACCAAAATTCGAAAATCAAATTAACCTGACATGTAAATTCTTATATAATTAAAACAATACGAAAAATTATTGAGTTCTTAGGTTTTCGCGATTGTTACACATAGGAAAAAAAACGTATTTTTTCGGATCTAAATCGCGTATATTTGTTTTTCAAACAAACCGACGCTTCGGGTCCTTTATCCAGATCCTACGGTCCGGTTGTGCACGTTTTTACTATGGCACTATAGTCCATTTGTTTAGATACTTAACTAAATGTAAGCAATCTTGATACATCTTTTTTTTGAAACATAATATGCTTTATAAATCAATATGTATAAAAATAGGCATGCAATTTCATACGAGTAAAAATAATTTTATAAATTTATATTTCATTAAATAGACATCTCAAGATTGTTTACATTTAGTTACGTACCTAAATAAATGGACTGTAGAACTTACGGATGGGCAGTTTACGTCGACAGGTAAACAGGTCAATCATTTTGTACAGAAGTAAAAAACTGTGCATTGTACAGACTTGAGTTTTGTTTGAAATTGAAATAGAGTGAAAATATATACTTTTAAACTTTCACGTTGCATTGTACCAACATTTGAAAACGGGAATAAACGCGTTTACATACGAATATGAAAACGCGTTTATATACGAACAGGTATTTTTTACACCTACATAGTTTCTCGACGTTTCGGCCAGGTTGCACTGGCCGTAGTCACGGGCTGATCAGCCAGTTTATTCCCGTTTCCAAATG